CGAAGCTCCGGCAGCTTGCTCGCTGCAGTTCGCCCCAATTAATTAAAGTTGTTATTGTTTAATGACAGTTCGGCGTCCCCAGTTCATTTGGGAACACTGATCTGTCATTACAACTGGGCGGAGCCAGCCGTGAGATCACAGCTGGCTCCGCCCCAGCTGTCATTTGCGCGGCGAAAAGGCCGACCTTCGGCAGGCCGTTCGCCATGGCAGCTTTGTGAATTACCCTTTAAATTTTACTTGTGCCAATAGAAATAAATGTATTTTGGAAATGACGGTGTTCATAGCCAACAACTGCAACAATGTATAAAACAACAATAACACATATAACACGACATCTCCTTATCTGGGATCAGGAACGGGACAATGTAGATTTTTTTTTTATTTTTTGTATTTGTTTTGTGTATGATGAATAACAATAACCTGGAAAATCTACAATGCACAACACCCTGACATTGCTGAGCTGTTGGTAAACATAAAGGGGATTGTATGTAATCTGTAGATGACCTAAACCTTAAAGTGACATTAAACCCTAAACCTTAAAGTGACATAAAACAATACTGTAATGTGCGCCTTACTGTAATCCATGGTAGTTTCCCTTCTCTTTGCTGCTCTTCCAGGGTTTATGAGGGTTTAATGTCACTATAAACTCATTCAATTATGTTCCTCAATAGGCACAGAAGATATAAATCTTCTCTGTGTGCACCAAATGCCTTTGCAGCCCCAGACATGACCTGGTGAGAGTAGCAGTGACATCATCACTGTGCTGTGCATAGCCTGTGCAGAGAGCAGAACTGCAGGAAGGACCCTGCAGACCCCTCCCACTACAGGAAACTACAAGAGGAGGCGGAGACAAGACCAGTTAACCTGCACAAGGAGAGAGAGTAGCAGTGACTGGTCTTTATTACAGGAGGGGGCGGAGACAAGACCAGTCACCCTGCACAAGGAGAGAGCAGCAGTGAACAGTCTTTATTACAGGAGGGGGGGACATTAGAGTGTAAGCTCCTCTGTACAGAGACTGATGTGACTGTGGGGGGACATTAGAGTGTAAGCTCCTCTGCACAGAGACTGATGTGACTGTGGGGGGACGTTAGAGTGTAAGCTCCTCTGTACAGAGACTGATGTGACTGTGGGGGGGACATTAGAGTGTAAGCTCCTCTGGTACAGAGACTGGTGTGACCGGCTTACATAACATATCAGGAAATATAATGAGAACTTCTGTGCAATGTAATGAGCGCTGCAGTTCAGAGATAGGCCACTAGGTGGCAGTGTTGTAGAGGAGGTGCTCTGCAGACACTGATGCATAGAGGTTGCACATCGCTTTTCCCATTCTTCATGATCTGTCCATGATTCATTCTTCAGGCTCCCCAGGAATCGATGTTCACGGATCCACGGTAAAGACACAATTCCCCCCCTTTACCCTTAAGGGAGACCAGTGTCTGTGGCTACATAGTGTTAGATGACTTTGTCTTTTCAGGTGATCAGTGCCAGCAGACAGTGATCACCATCGGGGATTTGTGGCTTTTACCCCGACAGGTAACATACAGCTGAAACTCGAATAATTAGAATATCGTGCAAAAGTAATTGCAGTAAGTTCTGCAAAAGGGGCCCAAACCAAGTACTGAGTACATACGCATGCTTGTACTTTTCAGAGGTCCGATATTGTTCTATGTACAATCCTTGTTTTATTGATTGCATGTAATAATCTACTTTTTTGAGGTTGTGGATTTGGGGTTCTTGGGGTTTTCATGAGCTGTAAGCCATAATCATCACAATGATGACAAATCACGGCTTGAACTATCTTGCTTTGCATGTAATGAGTCTCTCTCATATATTAGTTTCACCGCATAAGTTGCATTAGTGAAATAAATGAACTTTGCACCATATTCTAATTATTTGAGTTTCACCTGTATGTGTGTCAGAAAATATATATTGTGTCCACAAACATACTTCATACATATTTAAGCACTGAATGCATTGTGCCAAAATGCTTCCTCCTGTGCAGTGGCGTAACCAGAGTTATGGGCGCCCGGGGCAGAACATTTTTTTCGCCCCCCCCCCATATTACATAAACATCCACTAGAACTGTAGCGGCCGCCCGATGACAGCCAGGTGATCGTGTCAGGGAGAGGGAGCCATGGCTTCGTTTAGCGGGGGTCGTGACGGCGCCCCCCCTCAGTCCTGCGCCCGGGGCAAGTGACCCCCCCGCACCCCCGGTTGTTACGCCACTGCTCCTGTGAACGCCCCCTTTAAGAGACCCTGTCACCAGACCATTCATTTCAACAACAATCTCCCCATAAGATAATATGTGGACAGATTTTATGATAACGCCTCCCATGTGGTGACCTCCGAAAATCCTGAGACTTCTGCTGGGCCCCCTTAGATGTAATGTCAGCAGCCCCAGAATTCTCACTCAGACCTTCTTTAGAATCCCCCTTTGCTCCTCCCCCAGCAGGTAGATACAAGGTTATCTAGGGAAATAAGGGGAGGGGCAGAGAAGCTGGGCCAGCACAGACAGTATTTAGACACTCCCAGGAGAGGAGAGGGCTATGACATGCCTTTAGCAGGAATCCCTCTAAAATGAAGGACATTCTTGGTGGTCATTTCCTGTTCTGGTGACAACCCCAAATTTGAGATCTTCTTTCATTTTCACCAGGACAAATAAGGAGGGTGAATCTCCCTAAAGCTGGCCATACACCTATAGATTATCTGCAGATTTTCTATGGACAGATTCCTCCATCTACGCTAAACTGTGTGGATGGAGGAACCTCCCACTGGGCCAAGCTTCAGTATCTTGGTCACCTGGTCACCTTCATCACCTGGTGACGAGGGAGCATGGGGACGGCTTCCATGCTAATCGAGAAGCCGGGTGGCGAGTCTTTACACGCCGCCTCTCTTCCTTAATAGGACTTCCGGTATCGGTACTCGTACTTGATACCGAAAAAACGGTATCGGTGCATCCCTACTTAAAGCTGAACTCCCGTGAAATATTCAAAAACTACTCTTTGCAGTGGATCTCCCCCAGCAGGTGGCGCTCTCCTCTTCCCAGGTCTGGATGGGCCCTCTGCAGATCAGTGTGCAGGACTGCTGGTCCTCCATTGTACCTGATGATGTCACAGCTGTGACTGATGGAGCACGGGAGAGAAGAGACTTCAGAAGAGGAGAGGAGGACCCTGTGGGAGCGAGGGGTGAGATAACTGAATCTGTATTTAGAGGAATCCTGGAGAAAAATGAGCATTCCTTTTTTATTCCATCCTCTAGAGCCTTGGTTCTCAACTGGTGGGCCGCGACCCCATGTTCAGTGGGTCACCACATGCCTTCCACTTTTCTAGGTGAAAAGCTCATCAGCCTCCTCCTAGCGCAGCACTGTCAGTTCTTGCGCCAAACAGCCATTCAATATATGCTGCGGGTGCAGAGTGTCAGCTAGACTTGTGCTCCGTCAAAAAATGTGTTCCGTTTTAGAATATCCGTTATTTCGTAATTCGTATCCGAAACTCAATTCGGATTCGTACGAAATACGAATTTTCGTTAGTTTCGGCACATTTTTGTAACTGTACGAACATTCGTTATGATGAAGTTAAAAAGCAAAAATACCTTTGTTAATATTGGAGTCGATGTGATAGTTGTTTTTTTTATCCAAAATACGAATTCCGTTAACGGATTCCGTATCCGAATTTCGTATTTCGTATTTTAAAAAAAACTACCACCAACTCCAATATAAATGTACTTTGCTTTTTAACTTCAATATAAAACGAATGTTCGTAACGGAACGAAAATACGTCAACGGTATTTCGTATTTCCTGCCTGTATTGTAATGCGACCCTCAGCAGCAGCGGATCCGAATTTCGGATTAAAAAAAAAATCTTGTCATGTTGTTCAACCTCATTTACAGGGGTAATATTAGTTCCTGTTTCAAAGAAATTCGGATCAGAAATTCGTTAACGGAATTTCGTATTTCGGATATAATTCGGAAACTGCAATTCGGATTTCGGATGCTTCCGAATTTACGAATTTCAGGAAAAGTCGTACGAATTTCGATTCGTAACGAAACGAATCGCACATGTCTAGTGTCAGCTTGAGGTGGCATGGGCTGGGGCTATGGCAGTGAGGGAGCTACATCTATATTTACAGCTCCCTCACATGTCCTGGACTAGAGTGATGTCACATTCTGGCTACCTATAGGGCACGCAAAGGGAGTTGTGCAAGTGAAATGGAGTCAGTGCATTGGGGAAGTCCATTCTATGGGCATCTTCAGTTTACAAACATCTAG